GACATTATGATTTGGTTTTTATGAACAGGATTTTATGAACATTTTAAGTTAAGGATATTTTAAGAACCGAACAGTAAATCATGAACATTTAAAAAAAAACATCTTAGTATTGGGCCAATTGACATTTTTATCGTTTTATATTGATCATTTATATTTAAGTAGTATTAGATATTATTATAGTTAACAGTCCTGTCATGCAGATAGGCTACGAATTTTCGCCCTATCTTGCTTAGCTCACTAGTATCCAAACGTGTATACTGCATAATAATAATAATAATAATAATAATAATAATAATAATAATAAGGTACGGGTTAAGTCAAATCAGGTTAAAAAGCTTTCAATCAAGGCAATTGTCAGCCTCGTTATCGGTGGTTAGAGGTTGGAGCTCGGTAACGCACGAGTTTGCACTGACGTGGCAGACCATTTGGACTGTGCCCATTCCATCGACAACACTCGCTCCATTATCGATCATAATATTAGGCAAGACGACATGCTAAATTTTAGATTGTGGTCTCCTCACCAGACGTTTCGGCAAAATTATTTTGAGACGTTGGTCTCACTAGACGTTTCCATCGTACCAATCCAAATATCAAGAATTCAAGAGAGGCCTTCTCTCCGGATGGAATTTAGACTCAAATTGTTGCAGATAGTACCTCAATGAACAGGACGACGTACAGGACGACGTGATAAGTTTTTGGATCGCGGTCTGACCACAGCTTTTGATCGAATTACTGTGAACTATAGCCCAATCGACAGACATTTGAGCCAGTTTAACTTTTAAAGTTGCAATTACATTGTCAGGCATAATAGTTATCGGGACGAAATGTTTAATTTCAGATTGCGTTGTAGTAACTTTTTCGAGCGAAGTAACCGAATATCAAGAATTCAGGAAATAGGCAGTTTTTTTCTTCTGACCATATGCACGTGGTTGAGTAAGTCAAGGCGACGCTTTTATTACTGACCTTCACTTAGCGGCAAAATAAGTGGAAGAAAGCGGTCGACATGACAAACTACATCAAAACATTGATGGTTATTCTGGTAATGGCGCTAAAACTAATATAGCATGCAGAAAAGGCTTAGAATTTTTCGCATTTCTACTTCTGTCCTCTAGACTAGTAAACGTAATGATCACCAAGTTACTTAAAAATGACCCGAAAAATGACTGCATTTCAGCCTATCTATAAAACTAAGAATCAGAAATGAATGCTTCAGAGTTTGGAGGCGGTTGTTAAAGCAAACAATTCTCAAGATACTTAAGAAATTATCAAGCGCAATCATACTAACTTACTAGTAGACCTTAATAAATGGGTTGGTGCAAAGTTCAACTTGTGTAAGATTAGTGATTGAGGAATAAATTAAGTTGTCAATACTGCATAGTATCTGTACTAATTGGAGAAAAAAACAAAATACGTGTTAACGAAAATTAAAGGTTCTATATATTAAATTGGATGTTTGAATTCCTCGCAGCATGCGTCGCTCACGATTTTGTTGACGCTCGTTAAAAACACAAACAGGCTACCTTCCTGAATACAATCTTTAATTTATACTATAACCGGCTATATCCTTGTGTTAAACATCAGAAATTCCTCAGTTCAAATCTTATTTGATATCTAAGGCTAACAGAACCTTCCTTCGTCATGCAGGGTCCAGTTTATCTTTTAGAGAAAAGTTTAAGAATTCTATGCTGAGACCTTCATATTCTTAACAATCTTGCCGGCATAAAATCAAGAAACAATATCCGCGCGGATATATTGAATTCCACGTAAGTGTATAGGTAAACCAAACCAGACTTTTTTAGAAGAGTGACGCCTCGTACAGCTTAAAAGTTAATTAGGTAACTTTTTGCTCTGCGAATGTCAGCATTTCTTCTTGCGTGTCTAAAACTTCGCTGGTTTCCCCTGCTGAGTGTAAGAATGCGTCATGTGTCTCCTCGAATGAACCAAATTCATCTTTTGTACTTCGCTGAAGAAATCCGCACAATGAAGTTTTTCTCGTGGAATTTTTCCAGCAGGGTTGGTTTAGTTGTTGTGGAGAAGCTTGTAAAACGAGTTCAAAATATTTTCCCTCAACGGCTCCGTCTGTTAAAATCCCTTTGATGACAGTTCGCCCTTCTCTCATAACAACGTATCCGTGAAAAGGCTCGGTAACTCTGTTGCCCATATGTTGCACAATTTTGCACCTGTTAGAGCCAAAAAAGGGAATTTTACCCTGTTTTCTTGTATCCACTATCCAGTATCTTGTTGCAGAACAAGGTTGAGATTCGCATGGAACCAGGAGAAGTTTTAGCGGGGCAGAGCTCTGCAAGTCTAAACATGCGCCCATTGTTTCATTCAAATGGTCAGAGTGCTTTGTTTTTCTTTGCTTTCTTTTCCGGCGCTTTTGACAACTTGTATCTGTGAGCGCGCAGAATAAGCGTTTCATAATGCCACCTGAATCCCGACAAGTTGTTCACACGGTAAGTGTGTATTGCCAGAAGTTGTTCCGGTACATTGTATCGCTAGCGTGGGTCAGTCCCTGTTGATCAGATCAGATGGAGACCTCGATTAGAAACTTTTAGTTTTGAGATGTTTTCGAGCTTCGATATTGAATAATTGTAGCTCAATTATAGTCAATTCTGTAGGCAGAATATTAGCTTTTGCCGAGAGGCCCGAAAGCGAATAGCGCCAGATTAAATTGCCCGTTTAATCCTCTTGACAGGAATCGATTTTTGCAGGTCCGAAGTGATATTGGTTTTAATACACCGAAAACAGTTAATGTTTTAAGAATAAAAACATTTGCATTTTAACAAAAAAAAATGTCAGCATGGAGCGACGAAAACATATGCAGGGCTCGTGGGTCTCGCTAAGTTTCTAAAGTTATTAATACGTATTTCCCTGAGGCGGAAAAAAGAGAACAGATCAATGTTTTTCTGATCTGAGACCTTCTGTGAAACGCAGCGCTCTCCTCCGTGAATTTTTTATAACCGCTGTGAAACAGGCGGGCTGTGGCATTAGAAGTGTTTACATCCAATCTGTTCCTATCACACCAATATCAATTCTGGCGGCTCGATTTCGGCGTAAAAAATTTAAGAAGCTTACGGTTCGATGTTGCTGACATAGCTTCGTTCCGACAGATTCATATTGAATCTCAAGTGAATAAACAGCGGCGATAAATATATCGAGAATTTATTCCGAAAAACACCTCACCTGGGTACTTCTCTGCGTGTATCAGTCTCCCTTCACAAAACTTGCCAGAGGGATGAGAAAAAAATCGATTTCTCCCCCATGTTTTCCCTCAACGTGAAAAATTTAGCAGACGCAAAGACAAAGCCTCGCGAATTTAAACGCACACTTCTCGACACCACAAAGTAAGCTGAAACATCTGTCATCCAAATTTGCCACTCGCTGCACATTTCTGATGCAAATGAAGTTTTAAGAGACTGTGGACCGGAACTCTAGTGATGTTGTAAAAACAATTGTCTAGTTATTTTTCAAGTATAATCAGCAATACAAGAGGCACGTGTCAGTGAAATTTCATGATCGCTTTTATCTGAATGCAGTAAATGACAACGTTCTTGGCAGCAATTAAAAGGGAAACTTTATCCTTTCCGGCAACGATGCAATTTTGTCTTAAAACATATTTCAAACAGCTTTAGCTTTGACAACTTCATAAAAGAAAACCGATTAATGAAAGTAAATAGTTTCTGCGGCAAGTGCAAAACTATTAGCGCTTAAAATTTGTGCCCAAGAATAAAGGAGAGCGAAGATTAATGCTTCATTTTTGGCAGATGAAGATTTTTTTGTTCTTAGGTCTTTCTTTTTTTGAGATCATGTCTAATTCCTTGAGTACTATTAAATTGTGCGAGGTTTTTTTCCCACAGTTTTTTTTTTTTTCATGCTACGCAAAAATATTTTTTGAACAAAGAATGAAAAATTTACGAAATAACCGCTAAACTTGAGATCTTAGCTTAAGTATGAAGTAGCATAAAGAAGAACTCACACAGTTATTTTCTAGCAGCGTGGATAGGAAACTAAAACTTGAACTTGGGGGCAAACCGGAGTAGAAAATTTACCTCGAATAATGCTGATATCCCAATTTTCGTTTGCGCTTTCATTAAGATATTCTGCTTATTCTGTTTAGCTATTGAAGCTTCTAAGTTAAATAGCCGTCTTTTCCGTTTCCTTTCCGTATAAGTCGAGGTCATGCAAAGGCATAGATGCTCTTTTAGGATGTTGTTCTTTCTCTCTCTCTTAAAGTATCATTCGTTCGAATAACGCTTAATTACTTATGCTTTTAAGAAGCCTGCCACCTAGACCATCTCTTCGATTAGAAAATCAAGTTTTTAATGAGTGCAGTGTGGTTGGTGCACTACTACTGGAACACTTTCGTATACAGTGCGTGCTAGCTATAGAGTCCGATAAGAAACACAATGATTTAGATGCTGGCAGTTGCAAAATGCTTCAGGGATGTAACTTGAACTCGAGATCAGCTCTAAATGACGCAAAACGAAGCTGAGTTGCTTCCCCTCCGACCTTTTTCATTCATATGATGATTTATTTTTACTGCCATTTCATGAAAATCCCCGATCAAAGATCAGGTTTCAACGTGACGAGTGATAGTGAAAACGCGACCAATCTACTCTTTCGTTGGTTGCTTTAATTAATCTCATCACAACCAGGAAGGAAATTAAAAAATATATATTCCGAAAAAAAAAAAATCAGAACCCTCAAATAGACGTCTTTAGCTAACAAACGAATATTTCAAAGTTATTTTATGAGCATACATCGAAGGCAGTCGTCCCAAATGGAACCTTCATCTCTCAGATTTTTCGTTAAAGATTTCTATGGAATGAGCAAGATATCTTAGTCCTTCTTAAAATGAAAAGAAGAGGAAAACAAGCCTCGTGCGTGTGTTTCTACCGAATTTCAACAGCACTCATGACTGGAACGTGCAACACACTTTTCCGGCCTGGCAAACGTTATAGCGAAAGCTCCGGAAACCTCGAACACGGAGGCCCATATCTAAAACACAAATTTAGAAACCTTCTGATCTACCAAAACAAGTCTACTTCATTTGAATCAAACGAGCTCTGTGAGCTTATCCGGCATCTGCCAAACCAGTCAAATCCGGCTAAAGTAGAGGCTAAAATATCCATCATGAAGATTTAATTTGTAACTATTTGTTGAGAAAAACGAAACTGTGAGAATTAGGAAGCTGCCGATCAGGACTCTGATTTGAACGTACACTTTTAGAAATCTTCCCTTTGCTTTGTTGTCTGACGTTAGATATCGATTTTCTTCAGTGAAACCAAAATCCTACTCTGTATTATCGGTTTATCTCGATAGATTTCTTTTGTGTCCTTACATAGAATCTCTATTGTAACTCAGAAGTTTGATAAGTGTTAATAACAGCTAGATACGGAAATACTGAACGATCCGAGACATAGAAAGAGGTTTTAATTTATGGAGTCTTACCGATCGCATTGTCTCCCGCTCGATAAATATTCTCCATGTTGTTTTAAGTGAGTGGCTGTCTCTCTTGTGTGCGTGCTTATTCCTAAAGCATACAGAAAAACCTGTCAGTTGTTTTTAAATTTGATTGGCCCCTCGTGATTTATAAAAGCCTCGTCTTAATTCCTCAGAAATCCTCTTCAGTTGAGTTCATGTGACGCTTTGAACTTTCCTTTCAGAGAATTTATAAATAAAGAGAATGAGTCATTAGGCAGATCACACGATACATGGAAATACGACAGAAAAGAAATTTAATTCTTTTCGGAACAGGTGTGTGCGAAGTAATTTCCAAAGCTGTCAGAAAGATTTTACAGAATCAAGCCGCACTTAAGTAAAAAGTTGCTCTTTCGAGACGACTTTTCGTGGTTAAATTTCACCCAAAAAGCTTTTGAACGCTCGAAGCCTACCATAGATCTCAAGAAGTTATGCGGAATTCTTAAGAACCGGAAAATTGTTGAATAACACTCACTACTCTTGTGATTTCTGCCAGCTTTGCGGTTTACTGTCTTGTCCGGAGCCGATCATCTGAAAGCTCCAGATGACATTTTTTTTTTTAATTGCACACGGTTATCAACTATTATCTCTGATCTTAAGCCGGAAAAAGATAAAAATGTATATATTATATGACACGGATGCGGTGTCGCTTTAGGGGCCGACCATTTTACTCTTGAGGAAGGGGGG